ACCGACTGGTCCTCGTTTCGCAACCACTCGATCCTTTATTGACGACCTCGTCCCACTACGCCCCCCCTCTGATTCGAACCGCAAGCTGGAAAATGATCCTGCTACTGTGAGTATGTTTTATTTTATTTATCATTAGAAGACGACTGAATAATGTCAGTATATGGCAGGTAGCATAACATCCAGACTCTCGGCGACGTTGCACGATGCTGAAAGCGAGCGAGACAAATACGCCCGTAAAGCGAAATATACTGGTTGGGCACTAAATATAGCCATTGGGCTGCAAGTGCTGCTCGGATCGCTTACTACTGGCTTATCAGCCGTAGCAACGCGAGGAAAATCGGTACAAAATCCTCTCCGCTCTTGAAAATGGAAGACCAAAACTGAATTACTTTCATATAGGCGGCTGTGGCGACAACTATCCTCGGTAATGCGATGACTGCTCATATAGTACGATTGACTCACGCCCTCTCGCAGGCGCACTGGCCACTCTCGTGGCTTCATATTTGGCTCGCGCGAGGGGCTCAAATGAACCTGAACTTTCGATCACTCGTGTGAAGGACTTGGAGCAATTCATTCGAGAGTGCAGAAATTTCGAGAAGGATTATGGTGAAGACATGACGAATAAATACCAACCAGCTGTAGATCGCTTCAGAGATCGCTTCGAAAGCCTTTTGGGAAATGCCAACGGGTGAGATCAATTCTGACATCTCTTTCCGCCTTTTCTGAAACACCTCCCACAGTGAGCGCAAGCTATCGGCGAGTGGAGGGGCTTTTCAACGAGACGTTGCAGTTGGGCGCTACTAATGCTTAGCAGCAACATAACTTTCGTCCAAGGTTTACCTACCTGGTTGCATATTTTATCTGGGATTTCGGACGGTTTCTTGGTGTAGATTAGACCAGCTACTAATTCACCTACATATACCCCCATTGCATATGCCCGGCTTGTGTTCGGTTGCTGATGTTCGCGACATACTTAGTACATGTTAATTTATAACTTCTTGCCAGTGCCAGGTTCCTTTCTCGTTTCGTCTACTATGTAAGTTTATAAGTATTTATGTTGAAACTTTTTGTGGAGCAGTAGCGGTACTGAATTTAAGTCAATTCCTTCTCAATTTCCTCTTTGCGTGACTGAAGAAATTTTTGAAAGGCGAGAAACTATGAGAAACCTTGGAGGGACTGGATTTAAAATTAGTAACGATCAAAAACGACAACTGTTTACCCACGGATTACGGGTTCGGCAGAACTATCTCATCCTCTAATTGATTTCCACGCGAAGCCTTATGAGAAACTTTCATCACACCACTTTGACAGTTGTTCTCCTTTTCCCCGCTACGTGTTGACACCGAAAACAAACAAAATGCCATCGTGCGCGCTGGACGTGACTATTGTTTATATTCAATCCCGAGCCCCATCATGCTCTTGGTTATCATTTCTGCCAATCGTCGCTCGCGCTTCCAAGAGAGGCGCTAGTAGAAACCAATGGCTGCCGAGAATCATGGACCGAATTTGTCGACCAACACGCCGCTCGCTCCCAGCAGTACAGGAATCCTGCTTCCTACTTCCACTTTGTCGCAAGGCCCCAGTACTGATTCAGGAGACCTGCTCCCTACGACCGGCGGAAGCATTCCTCTTAGCGATTGGCAGGCGGGGCAAGGCGGCCACCGGCAACCAAGAACGCAGGAAGCCTATGTATCCCCCTCTAATCTAGAGCAAGGAATGGGAGGATATCCAGCGAGCGCCAATGCGAGACCAGAGCCGGCGCAGATAAATACGCTCACTCATGGTATGGGGCCTGGGAATGCTTTGCCACCTCCTACACTAGCCATCTACGAACCGCCGGGCGGCCAATACGATGCTCGACCTCGCGGGGACCATTCCCCACAAAATCAACACGGGGATCCTTTTGCAGGCTCTCCGAACGGAAGTCCCCTTCGCCACGCCGACTCAAATCTACCTCGCACTAGAAGTCAAACCGGGTCTCCTGCCTCAGCCACTGACAGATTCCATACGAATTCCGGCGGTACGTCACAGGCCCCAGGCATCCATTCAACGCATTGACGTCCATAATACTGAACTCGGACTCAGGAGGCCACCCAGGCGCGACCAACGAAGGGTACGGCCCGCGATTACGGCAGACTCTGGAGGATGAGCGTGGCCGCCTCTTTGGGCAGATATTGGGGGACACACCAGGTCAGGTCCTTTCTGATGAAGCCGCAGGTGCTCGTCTGCGCCAATTCATGGAAGAAGAACGCAACCGCCTGGTCGAGCGAATTCCCGGCGCTTATCCGCAAAGTTCTGGCAATGCGAACAACGGTCCCAGCTCTCGCTTCCGTCAAGCTGTAGCACGCGAGCGTGAAAATCTCATTGATCACATCCCAGGCGGGACTCACCAGGGAAATGAGCAAGCCGGACAAACTCAAAATGAAGGCATCGGAGCGCGACTCCGTCAAGCTGCAGGAGATTACCTGCACGACACTTTCCCCTCCTATCATCTACCGGCCATTCCCGGGCGTCTATTCCATGCCGCTGACGGTGTACGCGGAGGAGCTAGAAACAGGACAGCCGACCCTCACATGTCCAGAGCGCATTCGGTAATTGATCATGTCGTCCCGGTGCAGCATGAGAAGGAGCCCCCTCAGACTGTGAGCTATTACGTTACGTGCCGGATATACTACAACTCACCTTGGTTTCGAAGTACATGATTGGTAGCGTCAGCGCACGACTCTCGGCAACGCTCGCCGACGCTAATCGTGAACGGGACAAATATGTAGCCAAGGCGAAGCTTACTGGTCATGCCTTGAATATCGCGATTGGATTGCAAGTGCTCCTCGGATCGCTCACGACTGGATTGTCAGCAGTCGCAACCCAAGGAAAATCCGTGCGTTGGTACTTTGCCCAGCACCAAGTCACATCTAATGATATCGATTCTTTAGGCTGCTGTAGCGACGACTATTCTCGGTGCGTAACACCGCGTTTATTGCTAAAATACTCGGATACTCACATAGATGGCAGGCGCACTGGCTACTCTGGTAGCTTCCTATTTGGCGAGGGCCAGAGGCTCAAACGAGCCAGAACTTTCGATAACCCGAGTGAAAGACCTGGAGCAATTTATCAGGGAGTGTAAAAACTTCGAAACGGATCATGGCGATGACATGACATCCAAATATGATGACGATATCGAAAGGTTTAGAGGGCGCTTCGAAAGTCTCCTTGGAAATGCCAATGGGTGAGATATATATTTTACCTTAGTGATATTTTATTCATCCGCGTCAAATTTCCAGGGAGCGCAAGTTGTCGCCTACGGGGGTAGCACTGTGAGGTTGTTGGCATTAATATCTAGGCCGTGATATTTCAACCTTGTTGAGCATTTTAATAGTTCGTCACATAGAAATAATATAAAGATCACTAATCTGTCGCAGCTCACTAACCAAAACAGTGCGAGCTGATTCATAAATTTTATCTTCTGTCATCGCAATTCAAATTACGGGGAGGCTCATGTCAGCACAACGCAACTTTCCGTAGTCCTGACGTCTTCTCTCTGGCATATATGGCATGTGTTTATAAGAGGCTGCTAATCTCATCATGGCCAGACGCGCTCTGAGCTTCCCGTCCTATGTCCTAACCATCGTCCGGTCCACGGCTTTTGCAGCTCCGGCGACCACGACTTTTAGCATATAAATATCTCTGGAAATGTCGGTTTATAAGCAACTGTCCTGGCTGAACAGTACACCTGGCTGAACAGTACACAAGTTCTCTTATGGCGTTCACCAACTTGAAGCTGTATGGCCGCCCGCTTTCTAGTGCCACCCGCCGCGCTGCTGTCATTCTCATCGAGAAGAAAGTCCCATTCGAGTTTGTTCTTGTCCCCAACAGGGAGCATAAAGCACCGGAATATCTGAAGAAGCACCCTTTCGGACAGATACCCCTTATTGTATGTTGATCGAACGACAAATTTCCTTTGCATTTTGCTCACTCTGTTTATCCTACTACAGGAGGAACCAGATGGCTTTCGTCTCTACGAAAGCCGTGCTATCGGGCGTTATATCGCCGAGAAATATGCGAGCCAGGGAACGCCGCTTCTTCCCACTGAGTTGAAGGCTAAAGCAATATTTGAGCAAGCGGCTTCCAGTGAGCTTGCGAATTTCGATTTTCTTGCCTCGCAAGCGGTGAAGGAGGTTATTGGCAAGAAGTAAGAACTGTCCGCGAAATTCTGGAGAATTTTCTCATTGAAAAATTACAGGCGTGAGGGCCTCACTCCTGACTATGATCGATTCAATGAAATCTATAGCGAGCTATCTGCCAAGTTGGATGCATACGAAATCATTCTTTCCAAGCAAAAGTACATTGCCGGAGATGTACGTGCCGACCATGTTGGTGTTCGTTTTCTTCTGACAATTCCTGACTTTTTATTTTATAGGAAATTACTCTTGTTGACCTTTTCCACATTCCGTTTGGCTCCTCGCTTGTGACAATTGTGCCGGACGTGTTCGAGAAAAGGCCCAACGTTTCTAGGTATGCAAATCTGACATTTTTCCACTGGGTCTTTGCTTCTACTAATACCTTCGCGGTCACCTAGATGGTGGAATGATATCAGCTCGCGGCCTTCTTGGCAATCGGTTAAGGAAGGTGTTCATAGCACTGCTTAAGTAGTATAGCTATAGTGCCATTTAGAGCATTTCTGAATCCGCCGAGTTTGAACGTGAAATACTGCATTTCATTTGTTCTTCTTAGTACGCCCCCTTTATAATTGAAATTGAAAATTTGTTAGGTTCAACTAAGCCTGTCCGAAGGTCGAGTCCCAAGTAACTGCTACGTCGGGAGATTTGTACCACCGTCGACGTGCGTACTACCAGTTTTCAAGCTTCAAAGCTTCAGTTTCAAGCTTCACCGGTCACCCTCGACTCTCGACTCTGGAGGCTTTAGCAAAAGATATCCTGATGGTCCAATGGATCATTGTTCCAAAGATTATACCAACCTCGCCATTGAGGTGTAAAAGGAGTTGACAAGAAGGGGACTCGAACCCCTGCCACATTTCTGTGATGAGAAACCTGTAGAGAACAGGAAGCAATTACGCTTGAGTCACACGCCTTAACCGCTCGGCCATCTTGCCATACTTAAGCGCCCGCTTTGCAGCCAAAACAGTGCATTTATTTGGAGGGAAATTCATTTCCATATCTTTGTTTTACAACTCTGTATTCTCAGTGGTTTTTTGACTTCAGCACTTAAAGCTTGAATGCTTGAGGCCGAGGGCTTGATGCAGGCTTGATGTGGACTGATTCCGGGACCGACGGCATTAGCCGGACCACGTGAAAACCATGCGAATCTGTTCAAGACGTCGACGTTTCAACGTTCAACGTTCAACACTCAACACCATTGTCTTCTACATATATATATGTAGTTGCGGTGAACTCTCGAAGACTAATTCAAGTTCGATGGAGGCTATCAACGCACTTTAAGCTCACCGGCTACATCAACCCCTCTGGCGCGAACATATACGATCCAAATGGCCGCTCCCACTGTCAGTCCGGGAATCTCAGGCAACTCGAAGTATACTGAAGCCACACTTTTCAGTCTTGCTAACATTAGTCGCATATGCTCGGCGCGAGCCTTAAATCAGATATTGAACTCTAAACTCTAGGGATGGGTAATCTACACGCATAAAATTACGAATGGAGGGTATGGGGGTCAGATTTACTTCGCATCTACGATAAGTGTTTCAATTGTCCGTGTTCGAGTGTCCTTGAGGAACTTAACCAGATCCGTCCCTCCCGTTCCTTTTAACGCGTCCTTACTCGCGGCCCCATCATCCTGGATAGAGTCATTCTTTGAGGCAGCGTCTTTGGCTCTTCGAGCGGGGCCCAGGATATACAGCGTGACGATGATCATATGCGCATCGCGGAATGTCTTCAGAGCCTTGATCGCGGCATTATATGCAGACAACAATTCTTCGTCACCGGTGTCCGTGACGAACGTCCGTAGAGGACGTGGGCTCGCTTTGAGGTGGTCTAGGAAGAGTCGGTGGTTCCGCGGCATGTATGACTGCATCCGCGACATGAATGAGCGCTTTCCAGGGGACGTTGGCTGGTGATCCACCCCAAGGAAGATGTCGAGGACGTGGACCAGAGAGCTTTGTCCTGCGCTGGGGCCTGACAGCTCTTTGGGCACACGAAGCTCTGGGTGATCTTCTATGCCTTCGAACGTCCACTTCCTCCCGTTTTCGTCCGAGTCTTCCCCGCGGAACCATGGTCGGACCTGGTTGTAGTACACATCTGGGTCGCAGCCTTTCTTCACGTCGAGGAGTAGGGCCTTGAGCTCTTCTACGACGCTGGCGATGGTGACCAGATATTCTCTAATTCGTCGCGCAGCAATCGCGTCGCCTACGAAGATTTCATCCATCGTCATACGCATGAGCTCTAGGACCTCTACACCGCGAAGCTCTATACGCGCAGAACAGAGGTAGAACTCCTCTTCGTCTTTGAGCCCGGTGAACAACGTCTGGGAGCGGATATTGGCTATGTCGGGTATCTGATCGGTCGATGCCGGGGCTGTCTTGTGATCCCAGTTATACAGTACTGTGTCGGAGAATGTCAGGACTGGCGGGAGATCGAGGGTCTTCGAAAGGCTGAGAATGGGAAGGGATATTGACGCGGGTATCGATACTGGCTCTTCGAGGGGCAGGCTCTGGATATAGAAATGCAAAATGTACGCGAGGACGAGATGGGCGCGTCGGAGAAGGACAGGAGAGGTTTCCAGTTCAACGATGGACAACGCTGGCATCTATCGTCCAGTCACTGATAAGATGCATTGCCCCACAGGATACGGGAACATGAAGAACAGCGTACCTCACGTATGCACGCTCGCCACTCGCTCGACGTCGAAGCTTCTAACGGTGTCAACCCTACTTTGTCTGCTGTTTGCAGCTTGGCGGCGATGGCGCATTCGAGGACCATTTCCCAAGCGCTCCAGCGTTCTGGCAAGCGAGCGATTGGCGGCTCAGGCGCCATGAATCCCGAACGCCCGTCGACATCGAAGACATGGCCGCCTTGAATCGAGGATTTGATGTGCTGTAGGGAACTGTCCATAGCGTCTATGAGAGTCAAAGCCAAGATATAATCGGCATACAATCGGGCGATACTAAATATTAAATTCAAGCTCAAGGCTTATATAGCGAATTGATGGTGCCGAGTATTTCGACGCAAGGGAATAGAATGTGAAGAAAGAGAGGCTTCATGATCTGGGGTTCAAATGTTTACTGCAGCGATATCTTTTGTCGGGTCTTACCCGTACGCGCCCCAAACACACCCGCGTCGGTCTGGCTAGGTCTGCCGACGCTCGTCATCGTATGCATGGGGTTGAAACTGTTGAATATCATGAAAGATAAGGATTGCCGAACATTTTCTCTGCGCACCGACTGACCAATTTCCTCGAAAAATGACTGCTACTTCCGATCGCTCGGAGTTTAATTGGAAGAAAAAAGTCAGTCAATAGGGCCATATTTACATGGGGGTGGACTTGGGTGGAAATCGGCCTTAACATGAACAACCTGCACTTGTCTCCTCCTCGGTTAGGTAGGTCGCCTGAAGCAAGCCCTGAAGGGCTTGGGCAGCCACAGGAGGCGGCAGGCCGACATTACGGATTTGTTGCGGATCATTTGGGAATTAATTTGTACGTAATCTGATAACGTAGACGAGTCAGATTAAGATGATGACACCATCGTTATGTTTTTCATAAAATAGCTGAGATGATTAATCACAAACTAACTCTCCCCTTTCCTCGACGTACTTTCCTCTCTGACCATGGCACACTTGGGATCGGACCATTTCTTGTCTCTCACTCGTCCTGATATTCACGTTGGACCATCCCAAGGTGTCGTCGATACCACTACCCTTGCCGCCCATGATTTCGATGTCGACACGCGGACGGGGTTTATTCCGCCTCAAACACCGCTGCGACGCCTTCCTGGCGAATGGGAGTCGTGGGAGGTTGTCCTTGATGCCGCTATTTCCCAAAAATTGCAGCTAGGAGATAGCCCAAATCTCCTGCAGTCTGCGAAGGACGACTCAGAGAGCTGGAGGGGACGGGTTCAAAACGTTCGTATACCATGTTACACAAAAATGATCTGCGATCTAAACCGGACAACGTTCTATTAGCTCCCTGTAATATCAATTGAGGGGATGAATACCTCTGAGACCACCCTACGTCGCGCGCATCTTGTCCTGGCGTGGATCATGCATTTCTATGTCCATTCTCTTCCCCCGAGTGCACCCATCCGTATACCCCCACCTATTACCCTACCCCTTCTGCAAGTGTCGGCGCAGCTTCAGCTTCCACCCGTTTTGACTTATTCGGATGATGTGCTCTACAATTGGCATTTGGACGAAAACACCGACGATCTTCCGACGGTCCCCACCATCCGCTGCCAAACTACGTTCACCTCAACAAATGACGAAATCGAATTCTATCTCACCTCGGCGCGACTGGAACTTGCCGGAGTCGATGCATTGGAACTCATGCGCTCTACTATGGACGAAGCCTTCGTCGGTGATGATATAGCCATCCGACGAATCACCGAATACCTGCGTCAGCTCGTCGATGTCATCGACCGTCTCCGTGTCATGTTGCTGGATGTCAAGAACGGCTGTCGCCCAGATATATTTTACAACACCATTCGTCCGTGGCTCCGCGGAGAGGATTCGCAGGGCGGGAGGAAATGGATATTCGAGGGCATCGAACAGGATTCCAGCTTGGTCTACCCGACGGAGCTCTCCGGACCGAGCGCGGGGCAAAGTGCTCTCATTCACTCACTTGACAACTTCCTCGGCATCGATAATTATGGGAAAAGTAGCAAGGGGACCGCAGAGGGGAACGCCGACTCGACTACCCGGGCATCTGCGCTTATGAAGCGCATGCAGCTGTACATGCCGCGCCACCACCGCGCATTCCTCAGCCACCTCTCCAACAACCCGCGCCCCCTGCGGGATATCGTGCTCTCTGCATCGTCCTCCGATACCAACACAGCAGCAGGTGTCGCCCTTCTTGACGCGTATAACGCCGCTGTGATGGCCCTCAAGCAGTTCCGCGACGCGCATATGATAGTCGTAACCCTCTACGTAGTGATTCCTGCCCGTCGTAGCCGGGGAGCTCTTGCGTCGCCTACTACGGACGAAGCTGTCGTAGACCGCTCTGCGGCCAGCTCAGACATACCTCACGACAAGGGCATGCGCGATTCGACGCTGAAGGGGACGGGTGGTACCGACATCATTCAGTTCCTCAAAAGTGTGCGGGATAATACGAAGGAGGCGCTAATGTAAAGCGTACTGAACGCAAATGACGATGGATTTTACCGCGTCGATTACCCAATTATCTTATATATACTTCGGTTGTATTTACTAACCTCAATTCCCTTGACATGAAGTGTTCTGACATCATGTACGCTGCCTCAGTATACATCGAATTAGATTTGTACACAACCGTGACGGCAGCCACTTGAGATCTCACCATGCTGTGCAGCTGTGGGTGATTCGTTTTCTTGCTCAAGGCTGTCTTCTAAAAATCATACGGACAGCGTTACAAGCGAACACACCGCACCAATGAAAAGATTACATTCTTTAAATTGTGGTCGTTTCTATCCTGTTCCTCTGACAAAGAGGGGAGTCCATCTGTTTCACTAACTCTGGCCGCTCGAAAAAGCACAAGGGCTCGCTCTTCTACAACGACGGGTACTTAGAGCCTAAAAACGTGGCGATCAGGTTCACGCAACCCTGTCTCAGTCTGAATCATGCTTATTCGCGGTAGGAAATATGCCGAATGAATCGCTTTCTTGGACACCACTCACCGCAGCCGAACTGGGATTGACTGCCCTGTCATTTGCGGGTGATGTGAATTGTGAAATTGTGAAATAGCAGTTTTGTGCGGATCACCCCCAGGACCTACACTATGTGATCTGTGTGTGAAAGGGCAAAAGTAAATATGTGATACGTAGTAGCCGGAGATATCATACGGTAAATTGGTGCGCCGCGAGCTGCCGGCCGCTGCCGGCCAAACTCAAATTGGACACCAGCAGCGGACTTCAGCAAGCTCAGAGCTAGTTTTTTGTGGATAAGGGAGGGA